CAGAGCAGCCCATAAACCTACACAGAGCAGCGCTGCGATTGCATGTTGTAGAAGGAAGGCGGTGGATATACTCGGGTAATTACCTTTTCTTTTTAGACATCATTTTTAATATTATTATTATTATCTCATTTTAATAGCTGCAAAAGCACGGAGGGAATTAATTATTTAGGCACTAGTTCATTCATTCATCAGTAATCTGTCAGACGACAGGTCCACAGTCTCTTCCAAAACAGTTTCTCCTCTTAATGCGATCTTCTGTTTTTGGAAAGAGACTATCCAGGAAAAGTGATAATGTGGTAGTTTTTCCATTTGCTTTCCACATCGCAGTACAACAGCCGTTCAAACCACTCTGGTCACGCCTGTTGCTATACGAACTTGAACCATCTCGAGCATCACTTGCTCTGTGCTTCAAGTCGCTGCTGATGACGCTGCTTCCGGCATCAGTTTTTGGTTTTTGGTGTCTCTCTTCGTCTGATGCCTACCCTTTGACCTGTCCAGCAAGGGAGGCCCTGCCAGTAGCTATGCTACCGCTGGTATAGCTCTCAGGGTCCTCGGCATACTTAAACCCCCTCACCACGATAAGGTGCTAGAATCAGAGTCAGAGTCAGAGCCAGTGTTACTTTAGGACTGGGGCTCATGACCAGATATTTATTACTGTTTGGCATTTACGGTCTTGTCTTTGTGGGGCTCCCTCTCTGACGAGAGGACGGGTCTGCCTTTTGTATATGCTGTTGGTCCTTACCAGTGCAGTCTTTCTCGGGTCCGAGTATCTCAGATTTGAGACTTCCGTAGGCACTNTATGGCACTGAAAATAGAGTCAACTGGTTTTTGGTTTTCAGGGGTGGAGTGGAGGGGCCGCCGATTACAGACAACTTGTCAGACCACCCCAATAGTCCAACTCATTTGCACTGGCTTAACCATCTTGACCAGCCTTCTGGAGACCAGGCATTTCCCAGAGTTGCTCATGGCCTGATCAACCATGATGCAAGGGAAAGCACTGGTACGTGACAGATCGTTGGGTGGATGAGGGTTGGTGCAGAGTTGGCACGGGGTGGAATGGCATTGCGACTGCAGCCCAGAGAAGGAAGGACAACAGAGCCCCTGAGGATACGTTTGAATATTCTTAGGTAATTTCCCTTTTTTTTTTTTGTTTGTTTTTGTTTTTTGAGAACATTATTAATATTATCAGTATCTGATTATCATAGTTGAAAAGCATGGAGGGAATTCATTGTGTTGATAACTGTACTTCCACTGATATACTGCTAAGTTATTTTTGGGTTTCACAGTTTCAACTCTTTTTGGCATGGGAGTTAATTCATGTGGTTTTCTTC